AAATCCCCACTGCCTCTTGTAACTTCATCCTCAACAACTAACTGTCTGAATCACACTCAAGCCGTTCCTACTCTAAGGCAAGAGCTGGTGGTGACCCTTACAATTTACTTTGTTTATTTGTCCCCTTTTGTAACTTCTGAACGTTTTTCTGGTGGGAGAACAAACAGATTGGCTTCTAGCTACCTCAGAGGGTGCACTTTTCCCAGAGAAATTGGACTGCCTGTGGCAACACCTGAGGCATGTCAGCTGGACAGCCCTGTCTGAGCATGGAGAGAATGGGGAAAGGGGGAAAAGAGGGGTCTTGGATCATTTACATGGAACACAACACAACAGATGGTCACATGGAGACTCCTCCAGAGTTTGCTTTTGGTTAAAAAAATGAAGACACATCCTGCAGTTAAGTATTTTTAGCATCTCCAAGCATGGCAATATTTTGCCTTTCTCAATAAAAGGTAATCATACTATATCATTATTTTATGCTTTACTTCCATTTGACTGCTTTTTTGGAAAATGACAGGGTTAAAACAAAGGTCAGAAGGGACCAGCCAGCACTAAGAAAACCATCCCTGAGTCAGGACGAATCAATTTAACTCTATTTTGTATCCATATGTATTTTTCTGCTTCTGTATCTCTAATATTCACAGGAATATTTCATTTGCCACTACTTCCCCTAATATCATTTCAGTTATTCCCCTTCCTTTTAATTATTATTTTTATTTTAATTACATCTTTTTAAGAAATTGTGCTGCGTGTCCCTACATATATACAGACTCATGTACATTTTTGATTTTTAAAGGAAAAAATCCATAGTTTGTTCTGGGGTGGTCACTTGTATAGATTTATTTTTTTTTTCTAAGTATGAGTAAGTTCCATTATTTGACTAAAATCAGGAAAAAGCTGGAAAAAGCTTGAAGTCTGACTAAAGGCAGAATGCATCATGAGCTCATAGCTGTATATTTTGCCAACTATACCCAATATTCAGTGACTCATTGTTCACACAGGTGCTTCACAAAAGGAATTAAGATGGAAATAAATAAGTGGAAAAAGCAAAGTCTTTGTGTAATTCAAGTGCTCCATGAACACAATGGTTCCATACTTGAACATCATGACAGGAAGCATTATTTTATATTTGTGAAGATGCCTTTTTGAGGCACCTGATCAAGATTTTGGGGTTAAAATTAGCTTTCACACCCTTTCCAAAAAAAAAAAAAAAAAAAAAAGTCAAAGAAAAATACCTGAGAAGAACTTTCTGCCCTTTGCCTGTAAATTTCACCCAAAAGAGAATAATTAAAAATGCCAATAATCTAAATCTAAACTGGGCTTTGGGAAGCCATTTTAGTGAGGTGCTGGATATGCCCAGCTGTGTCTGTGTTCCCCCCAGCCAGCTCAGCTTCCAAATCCATGGGTTTAGTTCCTATTCCTGGTTTTGGAGCCCCTGTGTCTGAGTCAGTCTGGAAACCAGTTCCCACTGCCAGGTTGTTAACGTGGAGATCAGCACACAGGGCAATAAAAGAAAATAAAACTAAACACCACAACATAAGACAACAGGGGAGAGAGGACAAGGAGGGGTGGGTCAGCACAGTTTTTCAGTGTGAGGAAAACAACACATGTTTTCCCTTGCCCAGACTCCAAAAGAGCTGAATCATTTTGTTTTTCCAAATAACAGAGATAGCAGGCATGAAAAATTTCAGTTCAAATGATTCAAACCTGGCAAAAAAAAATAAATGTGAGCAATGGAAAATAGAGGCAGGGCCAACACACTGAAAGGAGCAATTCTACCTGCAGTGGAGCTGGAAGATTGCTGTTCCTCCTGCAACCCATGGGATGTAGGCACATGGATTATTCAGGCTGGTCTGGGACAGCAAAGGTCAATTATTAGGGACACCTGAGACACAAGACATTCTCAGGTACAACCCTGCCCTTAAAAGGTGGCACTAAATACCACCTCAGAATAGCTGTTCTGTACATTGAAACACATTTGTTCTAAAAACACTGACTAATTGTAAGCACTATTAGCTAAAATAGTGTTTTATTGCCCATTTGAATTATTCATATGGAGCTGCTGATCACTAAAAGAGAAAGACCTGATAAACAAGGTGTATGGTCATTTTAATTTACTTTGTTTCAACAGCTTGTAAATACTACAAAACTCAGATTTCTGAGCTATTGGATAAATATTTGCTAGACAGGCAATGAATTATTTTACATTAACCTAGAAGCACAAGAAATGTGTGGAAAACCAAGTAACTGTGGACAGCAATGGGATACCATGGCTTTTCTGAAAGGCTGTTTCAGGAGGTTTTACTAATAAAATAGCATGTAAGTTACTTAGATGGCCCAGCCAAGATGGGCTGAGTAAGTGATTAATAAACAGAACTGGCAATATAATATAACGATGGGGCACAAGTTTCATCTCACCTCAAATTGCTAAATATGAAATACAGGAAAATTTCTGCTGACTCCATGTTCTGCAGGCTTTCAGCAATGAGTGACATCAGCTGTACCCAACACCAATTGCTGACTCTATGCAACCCAGGAATGGGTCAGTATGAAACACATCCCTGCAAAGGCAGCTAATACAAGGTTAGGTGCTTAACAGGGAAATACAGCCAAGCTTTTTTTGTATCCTCAACACCTGGCAATGCCATTCCAATGCTAACTCTGCTGGACACTGAAAAGGCAAAAAGGACACCCAGATCCCAGGTGGGCACGGTGTGGAGTCCCTGATCTAAGTGGCACAGAATTCAGCCCAGATTATTTTTACTTCCTGCCATCTAGTGTATCTATGCTTGCTTTAACAAGCCCTGTGATTTGGTGAGAAGTGAGCACGTGCACATTTATTCTTTTGGTGGCAAAATTGCACCACGTTCATTGGACACTGATGCCTGATACAAACTCTGCCACTAATTTTCATCAAAAGAAACAAAGCCTTGGCAGACATTGAAAACAGGACACAAATTTATCTACAAATTTCTGGATCCTGTTGTTTCTACAGAATAGCACAGCTTTCATATCATCAATTTTCTGAGCAGCAACTCCAAAGAATCATCCTTTTAATGCTGCTGAGAAAGGGACATAATGGAGGTGACTCAAAGGAATAGATGCTGCAGCTACAACCACTCTCATTATGTACATATGAGATGCCTCAATGTTCCTGCCTGCTGATTACATGAGCAAACATTTTTAGTATGCAAAATCCTATTAACTCAAGGGGATTCTGCATAATTTTATAACAGCTCCACTTGTGGTGTTTGATCGACTGGGTCAGCAACAGACAGATGGCAAAGAATTAATTCTCTAAGGCTGCTTTATTGCAGGGCTGGCGTTGGGGTTTCCTCTACTCACTCAGCTGGGATAAAACAGAACTTTTTCTACATCCCCTACACCTTTTTCTCTTCTAAGAGCAAGAACAAGAATGTTGGAGCTGTCAGCACAAAGAGGAAGACAAATGAAAACTCTTCTTTATGACATTTACCCTCCCCTAAAAAATCCTAAACCAAAAAGGAAAGTTAACCTCAAAGCCATGAAGTAACACAATAATCCAAGAGATTACCCTGGAACTCATCCCTCCAATAATTAGGGTTGTCTTTTGCTCCATTTCTTGATCACTTCATAATTCTGAGGTGCAGAGAAAAGTATTAGCCAGTACTCAGTGAATTTGTGCTTAGCGTGTATTTAGATGGAAAATTATTAGCAGTCTGAAAATGGTCCCTAAAATCAAATTCTTAATGCACCGTTTCCTCAGTTTGAGAAAAACAGTCGCAAAAGTAAACAATAATCTGGCTGGGACTTATAAACAGAACTCTTAAGCTTGTAAGATCCACAACTTAAACCCAGAAAACCTTCAAAATATGGAGGGAATTAAACTGATACAGAAATATTTGGCTGAGGTTTTTTTGAAAGCCCTGTAACTACAGATAAACTTGGAAGAGTTAACTCAGAGACCCGCATGGATCCAGCAAAAATTCCAACTGTTTCACTTAAAGCATTGTCCCTTGAATCCTTTGCCAGCATTATCCAAAGTGGGTCAAAATGGGGAAGACACACCAAGGAAAGATAAGTCAGGATCTCTTTTAGTTGAAAAACTCCTTGGTTTGGGGAAACAGCCCCATTCTGTTTCACCGCATCACAGTTCCTGTTAATGGTACTGTGCCATCATTCTTCCAGAAGCACCGATTTCTGTAACTTTAAAAAAATTCTTCTGGTTTTTTTTTTTTTGTTGTTTTGTCTTGTTTTTTGGTTGTTTTTTTTTTTTTTTTAATATTACAGTTTCCATCCTGATTTCTCACATCACTTTGCATCAGGAATGTTTCTCTGACATCCAAGCTAATTAAGCCTGCTTCAAAAATAAGGGCTTGAGATGGTCAGCCATACCTCACAACCCTTTGGACAAACAATTCTCCTCCATTTAGATTTTAAATTAAGCTTACTGAAAGTGCTTTCATATCAGAAAATGGAGACAAAATTTTGACTAATCCAAAGCAAGACTTCCATTTTCGTTTGGAGATGGCAGCTTCAGCCTCTAACGCTGACAGTGCACTAAGTCAATCCCATCCCTGAAACTTAGCCCACCTCTTTGGCCTCACATTCAAGGAAGGAAGAGTTTCTTTTTGGCTAAATCAAGAGGGGCCAAGCAAGCCAAAGTGCCCAGACAATCCTTGGACCACTCTTACACAAATCTTGGATCTTTCCTACAGGAGACTGGAGATCAGCACAGAGCAAGGCACATCTGACTGCAGAACACCAAGGATTTCATCTTTTGCCACCAACAGCTCACAGAATTCTCAAACACATTAACAGTGTCACCAGATGGTGTGCTCCTCTCATTCCTAATTATTCCAGGACCCCTTCACTTAGTGAATTAGAAAAAAAACCAAAGTTTTCACTCACTCCCTCCACACCTGTGCTCAGCCTTGTACGATGTGACTCCTCCCCAAACCCAAGTTCATTTGATGTTTTCTTCCCAATATTTCAGGGGGAAGAGGTATTTCGTTTTTTACCTGAAATGGAGACTGGCTGTTGTAATTCTTGATCTCCTTGTTGGCTCCCCGGAACAGCAGCACCCTTGCACAGCTCTCCTGAAAATGATGGAAAAAGAAACTTGTTCATAAAGAGCCTTTGGCACTACAAAGACAGTGACTGCTAAGAGGTCATGAGGTGCTTGGTCTATATTTTCATGATAAAAATAAACCAAATATATTATCTGAGAACTTCAATTGTTAAAACAGCATTTTAAAAATGACAGGGCTTCAGGTGCTTTGCAGTATGTTAGGAACACTAGGTAAGTGTAAAGAAACATGCAGCAATACAAGAAGTAAATACCTTATTCAATTTCCAAGTAACTGTACTGACAAAAGTTCCATATTTGACAAATCAAATTTTGCACAAATTTGACTCCCATATGGGGTTTTTTTGCCTATTTTGTAGAAAAAACAGTACTGTTGACAGAACTGGGATGAATTATATCCTTCCCTCCTGCTAAAAGTTAAACAAAGCAGTTTTACCATTTATTTTGTTAGGGACTTCTTTCAACCTATCCTCAATATTAAAAGTATGATTTTTTTTTTCAGTACACATTAAATTATTTGATCTGCCTATACACACTGCACTGATCAGCCTTGTTGCCTCTCTTTTCCCCTAAAAAATGCTAGGAGTTACAGCACAAGGAGGAAAATTTGGCTTCAGATCCTCCAAACTGAGAAAATCTGCAAAGGAAATTCCTTAAAAACAATTTATTTTGGCCAATACAGTGCATTGGTTAAATCACTGTTCTCCATGGCTGTTAAATATGACTGCCCACAATCTGGTAGAAATTCTTGGAGGTTCTGAGTGGATTCTCAGAATTTTTGATGATTCCTGTATGGACACTGTTTCTTACTCATCATCTTTAGTGCTCATCTTAGGGTCTTATGCAAATCAATTCACATTTCAAAAGGGTTTTATATTCCCTCATCACAAATATTGTTCTTAATTCCCTTGTGCTTTCTGTGTTGTCTTGATGTGTTGTGTATGGAGTTCTACCTAATGAGCTATTTGGAGGTGCTACCTTTCACTTTGAACAGCGAATTTGCAGTCAGAGAAGACAAAGTGCATAATTTAGGTATTTTAGTGACAGAAATGAAGCTTATTTACTAGACTCTGAGTCACAGGTTAATTTGCAGAAATTATGATTGAAAATCATTACTGTCATTGTGTTTTCTAATTTCTCACCATGGATTCTTGGTCCCATTAAGTCTCCCCATCACAGGGCTGCCCTAAATGTATCTGGAAAGGAGGTTATCCTACCTTTTTCTCAACTGAAAAACAACAGAATTTTTCCAGATGGTAAATTAACAATTATCTCTTAGATTATAATTTTTAATGATATACAATTAACTGAGATAGTCTCATTTGCTTGCACTGCAATCTGCACTTTAGTTGCATTTTCTCTATCTCTAAACAATTGATCAATGCCCAATTTTAATCAAGAACTTGAAGATATAAATAATTATATTGAACAACATACTGTATTTATTGGGTGATTATTCATTTGTTTATCAGAATAAATCATCCAACATTACAACACCAAAAGAATTATACATTCAAAAATTCTCTACAAATTGAACTGAGCTGTCTGCAGTGTAACAAAAACATGCAAAGGGATTGATTAACTAAATGATTGTGACTAGAAAGGTTTTGCCAAAAGTTGTCAAAGAGCTGTTCAACATTAAAAAAAAATATTTGGGTTAAGTATTGCATTTGTTTGTTTATTTATTTTTATTCTTTTGAAACAAACAGAAGCATTCTTAACTTCACGTTTGCTCCTTTTTGTTTCCTCCCCATCTGTCAGATTATATTCAATTTTAATACTACAACAGCCTTCATCTCAGATCCAGTTCTCCCAGTGAAAGAGGGCACATTTCATCCCAGCAAAAAACAGACTTACTGCATGGCCATGGAATAACTTTCAAAACCAAGAGTTTATTCAGATCAGGACTTCGCTGACATCCAGGAAACCAAATATACCAGAACTTCAGAAAGGAAGCAAAGAAGATTCCCCAGGGAAACGGGAAGGGAAGATCAAACGGGTAACGACTCCATCTACAGGAATCTGGAGGTAACAAGGGTACTGCCGTCCTTCCCATCCTCTCCAGCTGGAAAAGGCAGCACCGTTCCTTCCACATGAACCAATAACAACTTTCCATTAAAAAAAATAACCAAACCACTGGCAAAATCAGCACAGGTTAAGGTTCACAGCACCCCAAGGGAAACTTTGTATTTCCACATACCTGATGAAGGAAAACAGAAGGATGACAGTGCAGGCAGGTGATGGTAAAGTTCTATTCACCAAGCCAAGCTTAGTGACTGTGTAATATTTGAAAATTTTGTAGATGCAGTTTCAATTAGAGTCTAAGTCTCCTGCAGAATAACTTCTACTGAGGTCAGGAAAACATTCTCTGCATGGAAAATGCTGTAATTCTACAGGATTACTCTAATTCCCACCTCATACTGCATAAACTTTGCTAAAAGTGTATGGTCTTGAAAAATGTCAAATTGTCCCCAAAAGTCTTTTTTTTTTTTTTTAAGCTGAGGGCATTTTAGACCTAATTGAGGAATCTGGCCTGACAAGACTTTAGTAAAAAACCTAAGATGGTAATTTAATTAAGAAGCAGATCCTTTAACAGATGTTTCACTGTTTACAGTCACATCTCATGCTTTCCAAATTCAACATAATATTCTATGTGCTGAATTTTAACATAGTTCTAAAACTCATCCCCTCCCCAGTCTATCCCTGCAAAGAGAGTATAAAATGCTACCAAATCAAAAGGTTCTGCTACTTGTAAATGACTACACAAGTTGTAGACAAAGAATCCAGTATCTTCTGTATAGAGACAATTCCACAGTATTTTACAACTCTTTCTTATTTAATTCTAAGTTAAATTATAGACTAACAGCAATAAATTCTGTACAGGAAACAAATACTTAGATATGAATCAAACCCAAAAAAGCTGGTAAAGCATAATGTTTTATTTTTTAATATCCATACTCTTGCTACCTACAATCAGCAGCCTTATTTGTAATCAGTGAATGAAACAGCACTAAAATTTTAACTCTATTCTTTCCAGATTGCAAGATCATTTTTTAATACCTGAAGCACGTCATTGCATATAAAATGATGTAGTGATAGGATGAAGGGGAAAGGCTTCAAACTGAAAGAGAGCAGGTTTAGATCAGATATTGGGAAAGAATTCCTTCATGAGAGGGAGGTGAAGCCCTTGGGAAGTTGTGGATGGCTCATCCCTGGAAAGGATGGTGAGGCCTTGGGGAAGTTGTGGATGGCCCATCCCTGGAATGTTCAAAGCTAGGTTGGATGGTGATTGGAGCAATGAGGTGTAGGGGAAGGGGATTGGACCAGGATGATCTTCAAGTTCCCTTCCAAGGCAGCCCATCCTGTGATTATGTGAGCTCCCAACTCCTGCTGGGGACATTTCTGTCCCTGCAGGGGCTCTCACCTGGTTGTAGAGGGCACAGATGTGCAGGGCCGTGTTCCCCGAGGCGTTCTGCGCGCACATGTCAGCGCCGTAGAACAGGAGGTGCTCCAGGTGTTGGACGTGTCCGTACCTGCAAGCCTGGGCAGGGATAAATCAATATTTTGGTTATTACACCAAAGCCTAGGCAAGATTTTCAGCAGAGATGGTGCTGTTTTTACTGAGGGTCTAATTTTTAGAATCACACCTGGTTCTCTGATGGGAGCACAGATACCCAGATGTGCATTCCTGCACCAACTCCAATGTGGGGGCTTCAGGTATGGCAAGCCTGTGCTTGAGCTTAACTATCTGATTATTTTGGGAATGGTAGCCTAAGGGATCAAGCAAGTACTGCCTTTGGAACTTTTTATCCACTAATATTCATGACTCAAATGTGACAGGTTTTTGTCCTGCTACACTCCGGAATGCTGCCCACCAGATGGCACTGAAGATGATCAAATTGCCAGAGCTTTTTCCCAAACTGCTTACAGGCCTTAGAAAGAAAATCTGGCCAAAATCCAAGTAAATCTTCTTGGTTCTGTGATGTCAAGCAGACACACAACATACACAGGACACTGCTCCAAAACAGGGGGAAATCTTCAAGAGTTACTTTATCTGTCACACAAATAAAAGGTTTGACCCTGGATTTTTGGAAATAAGCCTCTATGAAGAAGATTCATAGAAATTAGAAAATTTCCTGATTAGCAAATAAGCTTTAGAAAAATCACAGCAATTCTAGTCCATGGCCTCTTTTACTTGACGTCCTTCTCCTCTATGGCCCACTGACCAAGCATCTCCCAATTTTTCATGTTTTGAACTTTGTGGTATCTTAGATCAGCATCATTCCTACATAAATCAGAATTTAAGGTAAGACATAGAGGTACAGAAATCCATTCAGTCCCTCCTGAATTCAGTGGGAGGTACAGACTGACACACCTGGCTTGGATCTACAATTTGGAAGAGAAAAGTTAAGTGGACTGCTCAGTGCACAAATTAACTCCCCATCCTTCTTATTTCATTGAGGAATGCTTAAAATATTGATTAGTCAAAACAGATTGTTCCTAACCCAGATGTAAACGTTTATTTATTTAGGATTACAACCAACACAGGGAGTTTGGAAAGCTCTATTTCACTATGAGAAATAATAACCTTATGTGTATGAGGCTAGGGTTTAAAAAGAGGGACATTTTCTCTGTATTTTTATGGAGCCCAGATGGGGCAATACTTTGATCTAGACAATCCATTTCCTCCATATCCTCAGAAAATATGGTAAAAAAATAATTCCTTCCTTTTCCCCTACTCTAGAGATGGATCCACACAACCTTGACCTAGACCCACTTAGTGAAAAAGCTCCAATTCCTGCCCAAATGTGGGTGCCAAAGCTACCTCCCATTTCTTTCCAAGAAAAGAAGAAAAAAATCCATGTACTAAAGAATTCAGTGCACAGAAAATAAATTGAGTCAAGATGACCCAGGCAGACCTGTAAGGTTGATTACTTGTATCTTTATCTCATATTACAGCAGTTCCAATTTTTGTACTTTTCCAAACTCATCCATACAGAGACACAACAAAGTAGCAGCAATGACATTGGGACTGTTAGAATCTTTGAACTCTGTATATTACTGAGTTTATCACTGTGCAAAGGGAAATCAATAAAGCATTTTTACACAACTGCTGGATAGCATTCAGGTGTTTCTGGAGAGGACAGGGAGAGGCTGATGGACCCCAGCAGCAGGATCCTCAACCCAAACCTTCCTGTAAAGTTCAGCAGAGACAAGGAGAAAGCAGCCTGACAAACACAGAAGGAGCATTAACAAGGACACTCACACTGGCATCTAACCACAAGAAAGAGCTACATGTTCCTACTGAAGTGCCACAAACAGGAATCTAAGCTTCCAAGAGTTCATGGCATAAATATGATGAGTGCAATTCTGCATCAAAATCCACAGTAACCAGAGGATTTCAAAGTTACAGAACACCATTGGAACAGTTTTCTACTTCTTAGTCACCACAGCAGGATGCAAAGTGAATAAATTAAAAAAAAGTAGAAAAAGCAGATAGAAAAAGGAAGAAATTTCCTACTTGAATGTGCAGGGACTTCAAAATAGCGCTTAACCCTAGAACAACCATGAACAACTTCCTCATGCAAGTCCAACTCCAAACAAAAAGCAAATCTTTCCTACCTGATGGATTTCTTGCCATCCATTTTCATCCTTGCAGCTGACTGTAGCATGTTCATGGAGTAAGAGCTCACAGCAGAAAGGGTCCCCTCCCACCACCGCTGTGTGGTACAGCGGGGTCAGGCCGCAGCTGTCCTTGTAGTTGGGAGATGCTCCCAGCTCTAAAAGGGTCTGAAAGCAATCACAGACTGTGAAAAATAGATCTGGGAGGGACTTCCATAAAAAGGGTCTTTACCTGAAAAAAGAATCTGAAAAAGTATGCATAAGGTTGGTCATTGACATAACATTTTTTGCTCACCTAAGAGTGGACCACAGCACAGACTAAGTTAAGCAAGAAATGACCTTGGAAGAATTAAGATCTAAAGGATTCTATGGGGATGGCACAGAAAGGAATGGCAATGTCCAGTTTCCATCCTCTCACTAGGTTCAGAAATGTCAGCTCTGTAAATGTTGCATCACCTTTGCAACATTCACCTCTTCAGTTTCAAGGTGCTTTATCAAAAATGTCATGCAATTTGAGTATCTGTCAAAAGGGAATAAGCAAAACCCATAAATCTAAGACAATCTAGATCAGAGTGAATTAAGAATACCTGTTAAAATACAAAAGAAAACAGAAGACACTGTGTTAAAGCATAATGTGCAATCCATGCCACTGGAAGTTGCTTCCACAGAGTTAAGTGACAATGCTATTCCTATTTCCTCAGACAAATCTCAGTGTATCAATGGATAAGCTTAAATTTCACCACTTTTCTTCCTATGAGGAAAAGATAAATCAGAAATTACAAGGCTCCTTATTGAAGGCAAATGCTAAGATTTGAAAGCCACAAGAAAGCACTAGAACAAGCACATCCTAAAGGATCCACAGAGGACAATACAGTAATTAATTGAAAACAGTCTCCTTTATGCATTTTTTTTTAACAAGATAACACATAATTTGCTCCTGAAAATGTTTACCTTGAGGGCAACTTGGTTCTTGGCTCTGGCTGCTTTGTGCAGAGCTGTCATTCCATCTTTGGCTCTGAAGTCTAAATGTGCTCCTCCATTTTTCAGGGCTTTTATCACTTCTACTGTGTTGTCAAGCTGAGCTGCCAAAGTTAGGGGTGTTTCTAAGAAAGAGAATAGGATGCACATGGAAAAAGGTGAGGAAAACCATAAAATAAATTTAAGTTACTTTATAAAGTTTAAAATACTGTTATAAAATTATCAATTATCTCCTTTGGACAGCAAAGCCATACAGATTTCACTGGCTCAGAGTTGTGAAGGAATGTGTGAGATTCACCCTGTTAATCAATTTAAGTTTAACTCAAGGTACTCCTCTATGCTGCTTAGTTTAGTTGTTCTGACCTCCACTTTCTAAGTCATGATAGTTTGGGTCCAGTCCTCGGTCCAACATCTTGGTCATTTTTTCCACAGAGAGATGGTGGACATGATCCATAAACTTTTTCAAATTGGCCTGAAACAAAGAGCAAAAAATGAATCACCCTCTGATTTCAAAAATAAAATTTTGACTAAAAATGAAACATTTTTTCAACTGATGTCAACACCCACTGCAGGTAATTGCTAACTCCTGCAGGAAATTGGGATACCTTGGTGTGAAGCTTGGCCAGCTGCTTTTCATCCAGGTTGAACTGTCTGTACACTCTTTTCTTGTAGCGAAACTGAGGGAAAAAGAGAAGAAGAAATTTTAAAACTTAAAACTCATAATACCATTTTCTGACCTTATCAGGAAGTATCGTCCACTGTGATGATAGATACAGGCAAAATTTCAGAAATAGGCTCAGTATTTCATATAGTTTTACATCATTTAAGCAAAATTCATATGTTGTATGAATAAAAGAGATCAGTAGAGGTGTATTGGAAATGAGATCAGCCTCTAGAATCTACAGAAGCAAGCAAGAATTACACTGAAAAGCACTTTTCCCCAAGGATTCCTGTGCACTTTCATTTATAGTCTCAGGCAGAAAGCTGGGAAGGCATGTTAAATAAAAAAATATCAATTTCAAAATTGCAGCTTAGCATTTCTGAAATATAAAAACAAAAAAAAGTACACCTGAAAATCCCTTAGTCAATGTAAGAGGAACTTGCACATGGGAATAGCTCTGATGTTGAACAGGACTGGTTTTGTGAATGAGATTCTGAGGACTGCCTCTCTTTTTGGTTGAAACTCAGTCCCATTTTATCCTGAGCAGCTTGGGTGCAATAGCAAGATCTGTAGCAAAAGTCATGGGGGTTTCCATAGCTATAATTTACCACTCTCTCATTGTCCCATGCAGAATTCCAGGAATGCAGCCTGTCTGTTGGACAAGGGACTGCACTGAATGAGGCTTTAACACCAACTTTCCACAAAATCACTTTTAACACCTCAGTTGCTGCAGTCAACACTCATGGAAAACTACAAAACACAATAAAGTGTCTGTTTAATTTCCTTACAGCTGTAATGTGATCATCAGACTGAAACTCTGAAATAAACTCCTGGAAAAGGGAAGACCTGAAGCCTTCTCAGGACCCTGATGTTTTTTCTCTTGGATTTGTGTTATAGTGGAGTAAGTCTATTAACTGCACATTATTAATGGTTGATCTGCCACCATACAGGCAATATCAAAATTAATTAAACGCCAGTTTCATGCCCCAGTTTGCTGCTGTGTTGCGTGATCTGGCTCTGCTCCAAGTTTGTTCAGTGCCATGAAAGTTCTGCCCAGCTTATCCCCAACTGCAGGAGCAACAGAGAGGGGGAAATCCCAGCACACACCCTCTCCTCCCTTACTGCTTTCCCAGGAGGCAGACAGAGGCAACCTGTGCACTCTGAAGGATGGCACAGAAGGAACCAGGCAGGGGTTAAAAAAGGCTTCACTGAGATAGAAAGTTCTCTCTGGGAGAAAGCAAAGGCTGGTTATCCAGCAGCTACTGCACTGCTATTGCAAACCTCATCACAGATCCAACAGCTTCACCTAGAACCTTGCATTTCTTTATTAAATCACTAAACAAGATACATGTCCTGTGCCCTCATCAACGGAAAACTCCAAAATCCACTGTCCCAGAAGGGCTGACTCTTCGCAACTTTTTGGGGATGGACCAGCTCCATGAGCAGGGAATGCCAGCACTTCTGTGAGCAAGGGTTCAAGCTCAGACTTGCTGATAAGCATTTCCCAGATGTAATTCAGGTGCATGCAGACACCTCAAATACAGCTTTCTGCACAGTTTGTATCAGAATAGAAATGCTTCAGATGTCAGATCTAAAAATACCTCAAGTGAAGGAACTCCTTTATTGACTGGCTGTGGGTATTCCCTCAGAAGTCTCTCCTCATCCAAAAACTTCCCATCTCTCCCATTGCTTGCAGGCTGGAACAATCCATAGTTCAGGACATCCTTCAAACTCTGGTTCAAAGTGCACAATATCCGCTGCTTTGCAACCCACACTGAAGCTTCTGGGTTAAATCGAATGCATTTCTGCAAAGAGAAATTATTTTAAGGAACCAAATTAGTGAAAAAAAAACCAAACATTTCAACAGTGTCTTACATTCTAAAATTTACAAATGTCATGAATAATAGGAATATTCATAATAAATACACAGACTCCATGACAAAACAGTGCTCAACAAGAATTCTATTTCAGATGTGCATTGATAATACCTAATGCACAAGTACTGTGAAAACGCAGGACATTTCAGGTCCTTCCACAAACCTCATGGAATACACACATCCTTCCTCAGAGAGAGAGAGCACCTTCATGGAAAACCTGTTCAAAAGGGATGTTACAAGGTGTTGAACTATCCACTTGATTCTTGGCTGTTCTGATATCAGTTAGATCCACAAGGATATCACCAAAAACTGGTAGTCAGGCAAGAATTCTACTTTCCTTTTAGCTACATTTAACTGAGGGTAAGTTTATGGGAGGAAGGATACAACATGGAGCAAATGACTTGAAAACCTTGACAAGCTCCTGCAGTTCTCTGCTTCTTACCAAGCTGGAATTCAGGGACTTGAGGAGTTTAGGGATTTTGCCTACACTGCAGTCACTGGTTCCAAGGTACCAGCAGATGGCAATGCCCAGAAAGCAATTTGGTGCCTCTGATGTGCATCCTGAACACACAATGCTCTTTCTGCTTTAATCCCTTACAGTCTTCAACGTAAATGAAATGTTAGACTTTGTCACAAGTAAGGCTGGCTAGGAAGCAGCTTTCATTTCCCTCACTTATTTTATTTTCCAAGATGTTTTGTGAAAAGTTTGGGTGGGGGGTTTTATGTGCTGAAGGGAAGGAGATAGGGATACAAAGTCAATTGTAACAAATATTTTCCTTCCCAAACATGCCAGTAGTTACAGCATTGGCTTAGCAACAAGGCAAATCTGTTGGAAATCCCTGTGTTCCTTCTGAACCTCACTTGCTCCACGACTCCTACATGGACTCAAACTTCAATACAAGATTCCGACTCAAACATCAGCACTTCTCAGCAAAACAGTTACAAGATGTGCAATGAGCCTAACTTTTAACATTATCCACACATCTGAAAGATTTCAGTGAGTGTTATTCAAATGGGAAGATAATGTTGAAATTACATGTATTTTTTTCTCCAAGGAAAAAATACATGTAATTCTTTCTTACATGAAAGAATTACATGTTTCTTTCTTACATGAAAGAATTACATGTTTCTTTCTTACATGAAAGAATTACATGTTTCTTTCTTACATGAAACAAACTAATTTTGGACTTGTATGACACTGTTTTGATTTTAAAAATACAAAGCAGTTACTTCTGATCACAGTTTAATTAAGTCTGCTAGTTTTTAATGCACCTGGATAATCCAACACATTCAATTTTGTTCAGTCTATTCTTGTGTTCTCTCTGTTCTTGATGCCAGGCAAATATATCACAAACTAATTCAGTGAGAGCTCCAGCTCTTCCAGCAATTCATAAGAAACAAAAGTGGGCTTATTGTAAAAAAAAAAAAAACTGATTGCATTAGCAATTTAGAATGAAATAAGATCAGTTATGTAAAAAGTAAATTGATAACTGGAGAATTTTTTTGCTACCAGAATTTTTCAGGCTGCGAAAAGTGAAACTAGCGAGAAAAGTGATTATTTATGCTTTCCATGAAGCCAGGCAGGATAGAAGGGAGCTGTTACCACACTCTCAGAGGCAGGTGCTGACCAAGAGGATAAAAAGAACCACTCAGATGCTGCATAAGGTGCATTTTCCATCAGCCTGTCACTGGAGCAACTCCACTGTGCTGCCTCTGTGTCCTCCTGGCAGCCCTCCAGGCAGGGAGCACCACAGCCACCCCCTCTATCCTGCAGACAAGTCATTACTTACTGCCACACTCTGTATCCTGAGGAAACATCAGCTCAGTCACAGCAGGACCTACACACAGGCTGTTCCAGTTATGAAATAAGGAACAATTCATTAGGCACACGTGGCATGGTGGCCACAAGGAAAGGAGGCAGCAGCAGAGCCAAAAAAAATGGACAACTTTTTCTAATCCTCAATGAAAAGAAAAAAATTAAAGAATAGAGATCTTTCACTGACAAGGAACTACAGAAACACATGAAACAAAGATGTTTTGCACTGACAGATACATTTCACTGTAAAAAAACCACAAAGAACAGCCAAAAAAAAAAAAAGCCCTAAGTGGCTCAAAGTCACTGTCAAAACCACAGCAGGCCCCTCAAAATGCAAGTGTAGCAGCAAGACAGCACGTCAGCACTGGCTGCTGAGATGCAAGGCCTGTGTTTGGGATGTGAAAGCTCCCTGGATCACAGCAGACACGGTCAATTATAATCTGGCATTCCTGCACACTGGTGAGAGCAAGTCACTGACTGAAGGGCAGGATGGGAAGCCAGGGAAAACACAACTCCCCAGCTGAAGGGAAGATATTAATTCAGTAGGAATAATGCTTACCATACAGAATGTCTGAGGGATAATATTTATCTGCTTAAAATCAATCAGCAAACACATCTTTCTGCTCAGCTGTCAATCACACAAACTGTGCTGTGACAGAGGGACACGACAAAATGGTTTGTGCTGCTGCCTCCAAAAATATGACTGCCAGGATATCAAAATATGAATTATTCCTTTGAATAGGAGATGCTGATATTAAAGATGAGACAGCCAAAAAATGGGAAACACAAATGAGAGTTTGGCAGCATGGAAAGAAAAGGGAGCAAGTCCCACATTTTGGTTTGTGCTGTGTTCAGCTTGATTCTCTGCTGAAACACTGCTCTCCTTCATCAGGCTGCACTCAGGAAACAGAATTCCTGAGAGGACAGGTCAGAAAAACCAGTCTGGCCAGGCTGTCAGCAGATCACCTGCCCAGATCAAGGGCATGTGAACAGATAGCAGCAGCACAAAAATTCTCTTATCAAACTGAAGATAAAACAAGGAAGAGCAAACAGAAAGCAGCAAGGAACTATCAGGCACAAAGTGGGATACCGAAGAATACTTGGGAAAAGTTGCAAAAGAAAATCTGGAGTATCTACGAGGCAGCACAGTCTGGAAACAAGTGAAACTGGAGGCATCCCAAGGAAAAATGGGACTCAAGCTGCAGTTGTCACAACTGGGTTCCTGCTTTTTTAAGGTAAAAAGTGCACAAAGTAAAAACAGTGTTTTATCAGAGAAGCAAGAGCAGTAAAGGAAAAGATTCTTAATCCTCAGACCCAACAAATAATAAAAAAGTAAAGAAAGGATACAAAAGTATAAAAAGCTATGCAGAAACAGAACACCAAGAAGTAGCTCCAACCTAAGCTGTTGCTATACCAAACTATCACTTAGCAAACAATATTTTGCATAGAATAAAATTGGACAAAAGTCCAATAAAATTTTAAAAACACAAAAACCCAGGGGAGGGAGAAATCACTAAATGCTCATTATTGCAGTGGAGCAGCAAAACAGATGGGCAGAAAGTGTCTCAGAGAAGTCTTCAGTAGACCCAAACCCATCTCAGCCTTAGAATTTAATAAAATGTACGGATCTGAGCATTTTGACTTTAAACATAACCCAGAGGGAGCACACATACAGGGTAAAACAAGAGTGGAACAAGCACTATGTGTTGATAATAAGATAATGAAAACATTCCTTAAAACCACTGGCTGACAGAAGTGTTCTCAGTGTCTGTGGCAAAGAGCAATTCTAAACACAAAGCACCATCGCTGTCTGAATATCAAGGTAAAGGAGATTTTCTTGACAGCAGCTCCTTAAGAATCAGACTGATTTCACTTACAGGCAGCATCACTTGGGATTTTTCCTACGTAGGCTGCAAAAGGAAATGGATACAAGATGACTGGGCCTGGATTCAGACCAAATAATATATGCCAGAAAACACAGCAGTTTTACCCATGCTCCTTGAGACTGGAGGGCTTTCCATGCTCTCCATTCCCTCAGGAATTTTACTGAGCTCAGGAAATCTTTCAGTTGTTCATTTAAATATTCTCCACCTTCCTGTGAGAAGATGACACTTACTGAATACAGGTCATGCACAGAGGCAATGAGAAATTACCATTTCTACCAAGTCGTGTCTCAGTAAATTGGGTTATCACCCAAACTGAGAAGGAGACAAAAAAAAATAACTGATATAAGAACTGAAAAGCAATTGTTCTTAAGGGCTTTGTATGAACTTGTCAAGATTCACATTGTCTTCTAAGTTTCACACGAGAATAAAAGAGCAACAAGACAGACTTCCTACAATGTGTGGTAATTTGTAAAGTTTTCCATGGCAGCACATCCTACTCGTGGTGCTTGGTGCTTATCTCATACCTGCAGTGGAATAAAGGCAGTTTGTACCACAGCCACTGCAGACAAGCAAACTTCATTTTCTGGGAGTTTGGCTTTAAAGCTTCCCAGTGGGCTGAATTTTATCTAAACCCCTAAACTTTTCTTCCTTAGAACAAATATAGTCTTGATCATACTCTCTAAAAACCAAAAAAAGAAGAAAACTAAATTATGTTATTTCATGCTTCTTTGATTAAACAGACTAATTTTAAACACCTCATATGTTAAATTAATTATAATTATACAGGAAATGGGGCCTATGTTTGCTCTGGCTTGTAGCTGTACAACAGCTCAAACTCTTCACTACATTTAATCCACCAATATTTCTGTTTGCTAACCTGAAGCCAGGTTTCACTTTCCTGCACAAAGAAAATTTGTGGGCTGATAAATTAAATAAGAAATACATCAGCTGCTTTAGAATAGCTTAGAACAATTCAGTTACTTTTCATGAAGAGTTCATTGAAAAGGAAGAAGAAATACAAAAAGTAAATCGATAAAAATGAACAAACAATAAAATTAATTTTTAAATTTGTCTTGATAATGTCAATAAATAACTTATTACTGATCCAAAAAAAAGAGTAATTAAATAAGAGGACTTCAGGAAGCTACTATCCCTGTGGTTTTAACAGCAGAGTAAACATAGCAAGAAAAGCTGGTATTTCCATTCAATTTTCATGGATCTGTTCTTTGACAGGGTCACAGATAGAGCAAGCTGGTAAGATCATCAAAAAAGAGCTCCAGAACCACACCTGAGGGCACACTGTCAAAACAGCTTTTCCCTGTCAGGCTGCATGCAGCCCATCTCTATCATCCTAAAAATGAACTTAATTAAGAAGAAAGGAAGGGTTTCATGAGATGGATCTCGAACAGTGGCAGGGCATAATGTAAATCTTACATGTCAGCACAGAGTGATGTACGTGGCTCACATCCATGTAATGGATGTGTTTTAATAATCTTGGAAATTTCAAAAGGCTGGTGCCACCACTGAAAATCCTGACAGCAGCATTCAAGGAGACCCAGGGTAATTCAGATAATTAATAGCAAACTCAGACAAATTGTGGTTCTAGATGGAATCAGTCTCTCCCAAGACCTTTTCCAGCACAACACTGTTATTCCTATCACAGCACTTGTGTTGGTTTCTCTGACTGGAAGGTTCAGAAACAATACCCTGTAGTAAAGGCACAGCAGCAAAAGAGGAAAGAAAGGTGTCTTTGTGCTTTTTCCCCTCATCTTTACACTCTAAAAGCCACAGGCTCTCTAAAAGAGATGTCTTTTGTGAGGCAGGTTGACAGAGAAAGACAACAAATATATTAGAGAGAATTTGATGACCTCTTGCAGGACCCCAGTCTAGTGTCAATCACAAACTATTTCATGAGAGGAAGAACAAGAGAAGCCATACATATATATAATGTATTATAATGTATGAGGCTTTCATAGAGTTAACATGTGATTTTTCGATTCAATCTTCATCTTCTGATAAGGTTATGGATTCCTAAGTCTCTTTGTTTTACCCAAAATCTCTGAATGCAGATCAGAGAGATATTTTGCTTTATGAACATGGCTTTCATCAGGTCAACACACTAAATTCTCTTGGAAGGGATGGTGCCTTTAGTTGAAGCAACCAGTCAGATAAACCACTGGGGTACAAAGCATAGACATTAAAACAAAACATGAATTTTGTCTGTAATATGTCAAAAAGAAAGTAAAAAAAAGGAACAGATGTACTGCAGGCTGAAGCCAGCAAAGAAGATCATTAATTTCACTTTGTTTAATTGCAGTGCACTCTGCCTTACCGTTTGCTGCAAGTCAGGTATGATAATTCGAATCACTAAAGTGTTGCTCTGACTGTCATCCATTCTGCTGCTTGGCTTTTCTGCAGTTGCTCTAATTGTGTCATAAATAGTTTCTTCTTTGGAGCTGTCTGATTCAGACTCAACAGAATAGTCAGAGAAGCTTTGTGCCATTTCATCTTCACTTGATGTAGGGCTACGAGGCATGTTAAAGTTTTTTATCCTGCCAATACCAAGGAGAAAAAGAAAAAAATAAGTTACAGTTCAAGTCTTCAAAATGGATCAGCTACATTTTTTTTCCTTCTTGGAAATAACATTCGTTTAACAAGGAAGTTTTATGGTTTATCCTCCTTTTATTTCTTTCTGTCAGTTATGTGGGTAGGCAGAGTGCAAAGGAAATAAATCTGGCTACCAATTTACTAGAGAAGAGGAAGGGCAGGAGAAGGAAAAAAGAGTAGTAAAAAAGAAGATGACCTTTCTTTCCAGGCACACCCAACCTCCCAAAGGACCCAGAAAAAACAGCACAATTACCCAGTCCTGTGATAACCAGCACTGCTGTAAACTGTACTAAGAGCTAGGTCTGGCTTTGAGGCTTCCTCCTCTCAGTGAAAAGACATTTCAGGGAATTAATGTAAATGCTAAACTAACATCATCCTGTACATCAAGAATCTGCACAGGTGAGGCTTTCATAAAAGTCAGTATTCCCAAATAGTGGAACCAACCAAAAAAACTAAATCCTACAGGGAGCCAGACAGACACAGATGCTGCTCTGTGGTTTGTGGCTCACACAACATCCTTTTAAACCAACACCACCCAAATCTGGCCATTATACATACTCTGAGCTTAGAAGCAGTTTTAATCTGTGATATAGCATAGGCTAAAATGAAAGTCATGTTTATTCCAGACTACAGACATTTGTAATCAGGGGTCTCACACTAAGAACAGCAGAACATTTTCCTTCTGGGCTTTTCCACCTACAAGAGCAAATGAATTTTGTTTTTGTCCCACAGATTTAAAGCTGTTCCAAGATATGAAAATTATTATTCTGTGGAAAAATGGAGGAAAGCATTTACTGTGGAAAAAACTGAAAAGACCAACAATAAACTTTGCAGTGCTTGGACGTCATATAACTTTTCAGATTTAGGAGGCCAGAAAAATGTATTATTATTTTTCTTTTTTTCCTGTGCATAATCCTCCAAGACAATTCCTCTGCATTTTAATGCAAAATAAAAATTCAGTTAGAAGAAAAATAAAATAAAATAAGAATGAAAGAAAGAAAGAACTAATCAAACAAGCAATTCCACTGCCAGGTCACATTTAAAAAGAGACAGTGAAGCAAAAGTGAAGCATGGGAGGGTGAAGTGACTTCATCACTCATAAACCAGGAAAGTGTACTGAGGTATTCCAAGTACACATTTTCTATACTGATCTCTCAGCCAGATCAGCCCAAGTAAATCAAGTCAAACAACAGCAAAGGATAAAAGAGCATTTTTTACCACTGTGTCTAACACTTTAGTTTAAGTCATTCCCTCTTCACTACCCAGTCACTGTCCCAGCAGTGACTCCAGAGCAGGGACCAAAGGCTGCCAGTGTCATTTCCCATTTTAGGTGTCCATAGGTTGGCTGGGCAGTGGAGAGCCAGGCCTGAGGCTGGAGGCCAAGGACAAGCACTCCCACAGCACATCACATCACACCCCCACATCATCAAGCCTTATTGTTGTTTCTGATGAAGGATAATTCTAGTGTTATTACCCTTAGCTATAATTACTAATGAAGACAAAACCAGTGCATTCAGAAACCTGAAAGCAAGCCAGTTTACAGCAGCTTAATGGAAGGCTCTATTTAGAAAGGAAAACTCTGCAGGGAGTATTTCATTTTTTTGCTGCTTCAGTGAACTGTAGATTAATGCTGCTCTCCAAAGCACCTTAAGTCAATAAACAGCATAAACATTTCTGTGGTTTCTCTATTTGTCTGCCACTGCTAAAACATGTGAACCCAAAATAAAGCAGAGCAATACACAGAATTTAAGGGCATAAGAGGTACAGGCCAGTGAGTGTGAGCAGAGAGACATAAAGACCATCACATGGCTTGTCTGTCCCTAAAGCCATCTGAGAGTGCAACATATTCCAGGGCAGTGGATTTGACAGAGAGCAGTAAACTGCAGTTATACAGCAGCCAAATAAGAGTTGGTTTAGGAGGAAAAAACTTCCCCAGGTTTTGGCAAGTGGATTTTCATGCAAAAACTACCCAGGAATATCTCATTCTATAATAAGAAAGGAAAATGTTCAGCTGAAAAAACAGCTCCCAGGAATCAAGCCTTTAAGTTTAATAAATACTGGGACAAAGAACTTCTTCGGGACTTGTCAACAAGGCATAAGACACCTAATCTTCTGGAAAATAATGCACAAGTAAGCATGGGAAGGATAATGAGAGTCTGTATCCACAGGGGCAAGATGAACAGGATATGGACCCCACCAGCACAGTTGGTAAACAGATAATTTAAACACCATTTTTGAAACAAGACCATTTGAATACTGGAGAAACTGGCAATTTGTTGGCTCAAGTTGTGTGGAAATGGAAGATCCCACCATTTGTTAACCAGAGCCACTGGCTACCACAGCCCCCACAGAGAAGCTGTTATCATTTAGGAACTGTTTCACTTTTGTCCCAAGGATATTACAAGAGATTTTTCCACAACCAAATCTACCACATCAGGAAAAAAAAGGCAAGTTGCCTGGCTTAATTAATACTTGTATAACCCATGAAAATATTGCATCCCAGATTCCTAATTCCTACCTGGCAATTCATTGGTTCAACACAGCTGAAACATAGATTAGGTTTATCATGGTTGTCTGGGATGCCTTCTTCCTTTTCTTAAAAAAAAAAAAAACCAAACCAATAGATCACAGGATTCCTACAGTTAAGCTGATTGTGTTTCGTTTGTGGCTGCTTTTTTGGTGGAGTGCTGACAAGATTCTCTGTAAATTAATAAAAACAGATGTCATTATCATCTTGGCAATAAACACACCATGAAAAGCATCACACCAACAGGGTTTGTTCCACCTCGTGTTGTCTGTCCACATTTCCCAACTCCTGGGCACTGAGTGTGCCCCAGCTCCAGGCACTGTCCTGCCCTGGCCTCTGCACATGCCCTAAGCAAAGCAAGCTTGAGCTGCAGCTGGTTAAACGCCCATTTTGACACAGGAAGGCCACAAAGAAGCAGGAAGATGAGAGAGTGAAAGGACGGCTTTATGCTCCCCTCGTTATTGAACTCCTCTGCCAGCCCTTGCCCTTTAGCTCAGCAGGATGTGCACCCAGCCTCTGGGGCTGTGGCCAGGTGATGTTCCTCAGACCAACAGGCCAGATGAAAGGAGCAGAGCTCAGACTGCTGCCTTCCCTTTACAGATGCTATTTTTAGATTGGTTTTTTTCCAGTCCAGCCCACAGCTTTCACAAAATCTGCCGGAATTTCTTATTCTGCCATTCGCTGCCACTGCACCATTAAGGAGAATTTCAAACAGTCCAAACCATGACCATCAAACTCCCTTTTTCTCTAAAAAATAATTTTTAAAAACCCTACAAAAACATTGCAAAAGGCTGGAATTAAACAGTGCACAGGTTAAATAGGAAAAAATTCAGTTCCCAGAGCTCACTCTCAAGGAGAAGGGTGTGCTCCAGAGAGTGCAAACAGACACAGCAGGGGAAAAACCAAGAGCAGCAACAGATTAATCTGTTCTTTGGAGCCTTAAGGTTGTTGAACATAACACAAAAGGAATTTAATAAATATACATGTTTACATTTATTTGTAAGCTAGATGTTGTAAACTTGATGTGAAAGGATTTGAAATATCATCAACAGAGCAACACACCATACAGGGGATCTTCATTGAACATCCAGGTATTATCAGATAAATCCACTATAAAAACCACATTTGAAAATCTTCAGCTTGCTTATGGCTCTGTGTGATTTTTGTTCACCCTGCAAAGTACCAAACCCTCCTGGTCTTGTTTGTCCCTAAAACACAGCAGAGGCACAAGCACCAAATGCCTTGTCCAAGGCCAGATCTCAGAGCAAGGTTTCAAATCCAGGGGTCACTGACTCCTAGTCAAGATAAGACCAATCTATTTTTATATAAACATTCATTTGCACAATAGCAGCCCTGTTGCCTGCAGGGAGAAGCCCTCCAGACTGCTGCAGTGAGGCCAGTTACAAACCCACCTGTGGGAATATCTGGGATACAGTGGGCATTGTCACAGGCTGAGTAATGCCATGGACCAGACTGTGAGATAAGTGTGCTGGGAGAGGAACAGTCACTGCTAGAAAGAGGTATTTAGCCATTAACTCTGAAGGAAAACTATTCAGGAAAGGGATTTCTGTGTAAAACCTGCCAGAGCTCCCAACACTTGGATTCTGTGGCTTTATTCAGGATTATACATATCAGCTCAAGAACCAGCTTGATGAAGCACTAAATTAAAATGCTGAAGAAGATCAAGCATTTTATTTTCTAATTATAATAATATTAAAACAAAAATGCACTTCAGACAGAGCTGAAGGTGGGGGGGTTGAGTCCCAGCACACCATGCATTTCACACCTCCCCCTGGCTGGGCAGAAAAGGTCATGAAGAGGAAAATTTGAATTGAAGACCAGTTCCAAAGGGCAATTTGCAATTTGATGGGTTCAAGCTCCCTCTGCACTCCAACTTCAAAGCTGGCAGTAACCAGCATTGCCTCCCAAAAAGCAAGCCCACCCTCCTTCTCACCCCAGAGCTCTCCGCCCTTGTCCCCAGACTACTTTAACATGAACAGTGAAGCAAAACAAAGTACTGATCCCGGTCAAACTCCAGCTCTTTTTTTTTTTTGTTTGAGAGGTTAGTTTCCAAATCCATCATACCTCTGAACTGGATCACTATGCAAATGTTTGCAGAGGCAGCAGGAGAAAGATGGCACAGGGCCAGAAGTGAACTGCCAGGACTTGAAAAGGGCAGAACCACTTCATCCAAAGTCAGCATTAATGTTTGCCAGCACAGAGTGGACCTGAGACACCACTGCCGGAGCAACAGGAAAGAGATCTCCACAAACAGAGCCACCTGATTAACCCCGAGGGAAATGCCATCAGCACCCAAATTCCACAACTCCAACCAGGGCACAGACACCAAACCCAGCCAGGCAAAAGCAAAACCTAAAAGAAATATCTACAAGAAGAAAGCCAGAACATGG